TACAGACATGTACATTCAAGTGCAGCTATGTAAGACTGCACTCTGGTTTGTCCTCTGTATCGTTAAGGATGGATAACATCTTCCTTCATAAGTCCAAGTCTTTCTATACTTTTCTAAGTCCATCAATTCATCATTTCCTATACCACAGCAATATTCCAACCTTATCCTGTCTGGTTATTTTAAATAGCCTAATATAATAGTCTATTAATTGATTAATATAGCTGACATATGGTGTAATTTCCCTATTTTTCTTTTTTGATTAAATCTATTTAGCTCTAACTTTGTCTGACAGCATGATTACTACACCTGCTTTTTTCCCTAGTAAATTCTACTCCTGATCTTTATTTTATGTTTGTGTGTATGTCTTATTTCCTGTTCTTCCTGACTTCTCTATTTTACTACTACTACTTTGCCATCCTATTACTTAACCTATGCCCTCCAAAGATCCCTCCCTCATCCTTCCATTCCCATAGAACTAAATACCTTTCTTTATCTCCTCTTATCTTAGTACCTCACCCAGCATGGTTCCCTCTGAAAACCTCTCACCCCCCCCATCTCCTTAGCCTTTTATTCTTTTATTTCTTTCTAAATTTAGAATACTTTTAAACCCTTCTAGATACACACACACAACACACACACACACACACACACACACACATATATATATATATATATTGTTCCCTCTTTAGCCCATTCCTGATAAAAGTAGGGTTCCAGAACTACCAGCAGTCTTCCCCCATCTAATTCCTCTGTGTCAATTCTTCCTCTCATACCCCATTTGTGTAAGGTAATTATTCTTTTTTCCTTTTCCTAGATGGTACTACTTTTTAGAACCATATCATACTCAGGATGCCAATCTTTCTTTCAAACTACCCAATTACTAATTACAATCTTAGACATACAGTTTACATTTCCTCATACAAAAAAGTAAACAATCTGTCCTTATTGAGTCCCTTGTAATTAGTCTTTGATGTTTATTTTATATTTCTCTTGGATTTTGTATGTCAAATTTTCTATTAAGTTCAGGTCTTTTTGCTACAAAATCCTAAAAGTCTGGCAATTCATTGAATATCCATTTTTTTTGTTCAGGATTATGCTTAATTATGCTTAACTATGCTTAAATTATGCTTAAACTATGATATTTTTGGCCGCAACCCCAGTTCTTTTGCTCCTTGATATATAATGTTCTAAGATCTGCAGTTTTTTGAGGTAGCTGCTGCTAGGTCATGTGTAATTATAATTGTGGCTCTGCCACATTTGAATTTTTTTTTTCTTGTTTCTCATGACATTTTTCCTTGAACTGGGAGGTTCCAGAATTTAGCTATGATATTCCTGTAGGTTTTCTTTGTAGGATCTCTTTCAGGTGATAATTGGTATACTTTTTCTATTTCTACTTTCCCCTCTTTTTCTAACACTTCAGGACAATTTTCTTTAATTATTTCTTGTATTATTGTGTCAAGATTCTTTTTTTGATCATAGTTTTCAGATAGTCTGATTATTCTTATGTTTTCTCTTCTTGATCTCTTCTCCAGATCAGTTGTATTTCTTATGAGATGTTTCACATTCTCTTCTATGCTTTTCATTCTTTATATTTTGTTTTATTATTTCTTGGCCTCTTATAACTTTGCTGGTTTCCCCATGCCCAGTTCTAATTATCAAGGAGTTGTTTTCTTTCTTAAGATTCTGGATCTCCTTTTCCAGTTAGTTAACTTTCTTTTCATAATCTTGTTTTTCTTGGATTATTCTTATTTTTTTAATTTTCCTCAATCTTTCTCATTTGATTTTGAAAGTCTTTTTTTTTAGTTCTTCTATGAATTCTTTTTGGGCAGATGACCATTTGACATTACTCTTTGGGGTAGGAGAAGCTTTCTTTTGCTTTAGTATTCTCCACTGAAGACAAACTCCAGTCTTCTCTATTTCCACAGTAACTTTCTACATTTGGGTTCTTTTTCCTTTGCCTACTCATTTTTTAAAATTTATAGCAACTTATTATAATCACCTCTATTCCTGGGAGACAAGGGATGGTGCCTCTGGCCTCAGGTCCTCCCTAAGTTCTCCCTTCTGGCTTAAAATTGAAATCAAGAACTCCACTCTCCTGTAAGAGTCCACAGCCAGCAGCATCCTCATCCTACTTTCCAGGTGTATACTGGTTCCACATCTCAGCAGCACAGCTGGGCCTGGTGTCCCTTATCAGCAGAGGTTCCCTCAATCTTTCCCTGCTCCAGGCAGATACCAGACTCCCCACATTGTCCAGGAGATGAAAATTCCTGTGGCTGGGGCCAGGGCTTCCTCCCAATCCAGCCAGCTCCAGGGCTTGCCACTTGCTGTTTCAGCAGAACTAATCTGGAGGTGTTTAGACTTCACAGGGACCAAACCTCAGTCCTGGCATTTTTCTTCTGTTCTTCTCCAGTTGTCCCAGGAGGACTACCATTCTTCCCCAACTCTTATTTATTTTTACTGCTCTGCATTCACCCTGAGGTGTTATTTTGACTTGTTTGTGGGGAAAATACGGAGAGCTTGGAATTTTCTGACCTATTCTGCCATCTTCCCAAAATCCTCTCTGTGGATAGCATTTTTAATCATGGGTACTTTGAAACTGTCTTGGATTACTGTCTTGATCAGAGTAGCTAAGTCTTTCACATTTGAGCATCCTTACAATATTGTTTTTACTGTATACAGTGTTCTCCTAGGTCTACTCACTTCACTTTGCATTAGTTCATATAAGTCTTCCCAGATCTTTCTGAAGCCATCCTGCTCATCATTTCTTATAATATTCCATCACAGTCATATACCATAATTTGTTCAGCCATTCCCTAATTTACAGGCATCCCCTCAATTTCCAATTTTCCCCCACTACAAAAAGAGTTGCTATAAATATTTTTGTACAAATAGGTCTATTTCCCCTTTTCTTTGATCTCTTTGGGGTACAGACCTAGTAGTGGCATTGTTGGGTCATAGGGTATGTACAGTTTAATATGCCTTTGAGTATACTTCCCAATTGTTCTCCAGAATGGTTAGACTAATTCATAACTCTATCAACAGTATATTAGTATCCCAATTTTTCCATATCCCCTCCAGAATTTGTCATTTTCCTTTTCTATTATGCCAATATAATCAGTGTGAGGAAGTATCTCAGAGTTGTTTTAATTTATATTTCTCTAATCAGTAGTGATTTAGAACATTTTTTTGTGTGACTACTGATAGCTTTGATTTCTTCTTATGAAAACTGCCTGTTCATATCCTTTGACTATCAACTGGGAAATAGTGCTTATTTTCACAAATTTGGCTTGGTTTCCTATATATCTTGGAAATACATCTTTATCAGGGAAACTTGCTGTAAAATTTTTTTCCAGTTTCCCATTTTCCTTCTAATTTTGGCTGCATTTGTTTTGTTTGTACAAAAAAAAGCTTTTTAATCTCATCTAACTGAAATTACCAATTTCACTTCCTGTGACCCTCTCTATCTCTTTTTTTGGTCATAAACTCTTCCTTTACCCATAGATCTGAGAGGAACATTTTTCCATGCTCCTCTAATTTATTTATGTTATTACCCTTTATCCCTAACTAAATCCTTTATCCATTTTGACCTTATCTTAGCATACATTGTGAGATGTTGGTCTATGTCTAGTTTCTGCCAAATTGCTTTCTAGTTTTCCCCACAGTTTTTGTCATATGGTGAGTTCTTATCTCAAGGAGAATTTATTAAGTGTACTATATCCCAGGCACTGTGTTAAGTGCTGGGAAAACACATACAAGTAGAATGAAAGACAGTCCTTAGACTATCCTAATGGAAGAAGACAACACATAAAAAGAGAACTGAAAAAGGAGGTAGGAGGAAGAAAGGAAAATAACATTGTACGGAGAATCAAGAAAATCTGAGAGAATCAAGACTGCACCCTGCAGAGAAATGAGGATGTGGGCCTGGACCTGGGCCTCTTTCTTAAAATAGATGTTCTAGGAAGAACCAGCTAGCCAGAGGGAGAGGCCAAAGGGTTGAGGATACTTCCAACGTGTGAAGTCCAGACATATAATACATTGCTGGCCCCATATGCGACACTTTTCCAGACTGGTAGATCCATAAAAATTTAGGACTCACTAACACAGTCTTGAAGGATCATGGGTTACTTCCACATGATAAGGTACCAAGAATGAGAAATTTTAACAGAACTGTATGTATTTTAAAATAGGTAGGTATTTGCTAATAGTTGGGAAAAACCAGTTGGGGCCATTGTGTAGCAAAAGAGCAGGAGATTAAAGACAAACCATAGACATGACTCCCTACCCAAGAGTAACAAAAAGTGGGCTGACAATGAATACTGAAAATACAATAAAGGGGCTTTTGTCTCTCTCTACCTTTCCAGTCTTCTTGCATCTTATTCCCCTCCCTATGTTCTGCAATCTAGTGCCACTGTCCTCCTTGCTGTTTCACAGCAGAACACTCCATCTCCAAACTCCATGTATTTTCTCTGGCTGTCCCTCCATTCCAGAAGCTAACTAATTCACACTCTCTCAATCTCTCTCTCTCTCTCTCTCTCTCTCTCTCTCTCTCTCTCTCTCTCTCTCTCTCTCCCTTTATCTCAGCCTCCTGCCTTCCCTGGCTTCCTTCAAGTCACAACTAAAATCTCACCTTCTAGAGAAAGCCTTTCCTGATCTCCCTAAATTCCTAGTACCTTCCTCCTGGAGTTATTTCCAATTTATCTGCATCATGTATATCATTCTGAAAATAGTTGTTTGTGTGTTGTCTCTCCCGTTAGACTGTGAGCTCCTTGAGAGAAGGGGTAGTTTAGTTTAGTTTTGTTTTGCCTTGCTTTATATCCTCAGCACTTAGCACAGTGCCTGGCACATAGTAGATGCCATAGTTGACTTGACTTTCTCACGCAACAAAAGGGATATTTTATTCTAGCTATTGAACAATACGCCAATACTAAAATGGGAAACAAAGGAGATGCAAAATATTCAAATCAGAAGTACAAAGTTACGGCCATCCATATATCTCTTACCTTCTTTAATCCTCCAAATAAAGCATCTGTCTCCAGCTCAAACTCTTGGTCCAGTGACTTCTCATGTGCTGGCAAAAAGAACAGCATCCATTAATCAGAGCTCTGGCTAATGGGGGGCTGGCTCACTTGCCTTGGGCAAGCACAACCTGTTATATGTTGTTGGTATGTACGTGTGCATATGCATGCATACATAAGTGTAAATTCTTACCTGGGTTCAAAAAGTACTTTCAGTGGCACAACACAGGAAAGCTTAGCTAGACAAAAGTTCACCTGAAACAGTTCCAGGAGTTTTTGCAGACTTAAGTTCAACATAAGTCAAACCAAAAGGCAACTGCAATCTTAATACTATATTCAAAAGAGAGGCATAGCATCCAGGGCAAGGGAGAAGAGAGTACCACTTAAACTCTACTCTGATCAGGCCATATAAATCAACAGTCATTTGTTAAATATCTTTCATTGTTATATTATTAAATTCTTATTATTATATCTATGATATTATCATATTGTTAAATAATGATTCTTATATAAATTATATTGTTATATTGTTAAATAAATATAAATTTTTCAGAGGTTCCCAAACTTATGTTGTCTACTGCTCCCTTTTCAAATAAAAAAAAATTACTCAGTATCTCCCTCGAAATCTACTTTCTTTAACCCTTTAAATTTTCATCATTTCAAATTACTACCGCCGCCTTAGATAGTTCCAGAGATCCTCTCTCAGGAGGCAGTATCTCATGCTTTGGGAAACTATGATGCAATGTGACAGACACTGTACCAGGCACTGAGGATAGAAGCAAAAGTGAACTTGTACATATATAAGTAGATAAAGAATGAATACAAGAGCTATAAAACTGTACATACCCTTTGACTCAGTAATACCACCACTAGGTCTGTATACCAAAAAGATTTTTTAAAAGGGGAGGGGGACTTTTACACTAAAATGCTCAACTACTTAGTTTCCCCTAATCTGGGAAAAAGTATGAAACACAAACACAGCCATTCAGACATGGAAGGCAGCTCAGTTTCTACGAGTGATTGGAATCATTCTAGCAGGTAATTGGAGACTGGATCATAGAATTAAGGATCAGACCTAAAATGAGGGAATGCCCATCTACTGGGGAATGGCTGAACAAGCTGTGGTATATGACTGTGACAGAATTCTATCGTATTGTAAGAAATGCTAAGCAGGATGGTTTCAGAAAAACCTGGGAAGATTTATATGAACTGATTCAAAGTGAAATGAGCAGACCCAGGAGAACATTGTACATAGTATCAAGAATATTATAAGGATTATCAATTGTGAAAGACTTAGCTACTCTGATCAAGACAATGATGTAAGACAATTCCAAAGGACCCATGATAAAAAAAAAATGTTATCTAGCTCCAGAAAGAGAACTGATGAACTCTGAATGCAGACTTAAGCATATTTTTGTTCACTTTATTTTTTTTTGGGGGGGAGGGGTGGTTGCATGTGTTTTCTAATATGGAAATAAATTTTTCATGACTTCACATGGCTAATTGATATCAAATCGCTTGCTTCTCAAGGGGTGGGGGAGGAGCAGAAGGGAGGGAGAGAATTTAGAACTCAAAAAAATTTTAAATGAATGCTAAAAATCTTTTAAAATGTAACTGGGAAATGTTTAATGAAATAAAAATAAACTTTAAAAGAATAAATACAAAAGAGAAATATTCATCTCAGGGCTCCTGAGACTCCCACTCTACCAAAAAGCATATTATCCTGGTATCAGGAGTTTGGAGAAGTCAAATATTTGTCAGATCACTGGTAATAATAACTTCCATTTCTATAGCACTTCGGAGCTCTCTGTGGTATGGAATAGCCACTTCTTTCACTTATCTGGAATCTGACTGATTCAGATACCAAAGAGTTTGGTAGACAAGAACATTTTCAGCCTTGATGACTTCATCAGCTTCCATTAGGACCCTCCTTCAACCTTCATCCTTAAAACTGAAAAGGCCTTGATGTTTATCAGATTATGAAATACTAGGATCAATTCTGGGCACCACATTTTAGGAAGGTTGTTAGTAATATGGAGGACATTCCCAAGATGGAAGGCAGGATGGTGAAGGGCATCAAGGTGATATTATATGCCCCCGTGAACCATTCTAGCTACCTGTACTTTTCTGCTGGTTCAGTAAGCTGCCCCAATATAGGGAATACTGAATAAAAGCCTTGAGTGCATGTGAAAGTACCCACAGCAAAAACTGGAACACTAATGCATTGTTGGTGGAGTTGTGAAATGATTCAACCATTTTGGAGAACAATTTGGAACTATGCCCAAAGGGCTATAAAAATGTGCATACCCTTTGACCCAGCAATAGCACTTCTAGGGCTATATCCCAAAGAGATCATACAAATGGGAAAAGGACCCACATGTACAAAAATATTCATAGCAGCTCTTTTTGTGGTGGCAAAGAATTGGAAATTGAGAGGATGTCCATCAACTGGGGAATGGCTGAGCAAGTCGTGGTATATAAATGTAATGGAATACTATTGTGCTATAAGAAATGATGAACAGGCTGACTTCAGAAAAACCTGGAAAGATTTGTATGGTCTGATGCTAAGTGAAATGAGCAGAACCAAGAGAACGTTGTGCACAGTAGCAGCCACATTGTGCGATGACTAATGTTGATAAACTTAACCCTTCCCAGCAATACAAAGATCTAAGACATCTCCAGAGGCCTAGTGATAGAAAATGCTATCCACATCCAAAGAAAGAACTATGAAAGTTGAATGGCTATTTTTCTTCTCTTCTGTTGAGTTTTGTTTCCTCTTTCTGATGGTTCCTCCTATTGGCTTTAATTTTTATTTACAACACCACTAATGTGAAAATACATTTAATAGGAATGTAAATATATAGCCTATATCACATTGTGCACCGTCTTGGGGAGGGTGGTGGGGAGGAAGGGGGAGAAAAATTTTATATTCAAAAGCATATGGAAGTGATTATTTATAAATCAAAATAAATTAATAACTTTTTTTAATTACCCATAGCAATATAGCTAGGTAGTACAGTGGATAGAATGTGGGTACTATAATGAGAAAAACCTGAGTTCAGATCCAGTCTCTGCTTTAGTAGCTGTGTGAGCTTGGCCTGGGGGGTTGGGAGGGGGGAAGGGAAGAGAAATTACTGCCCTGCCCCAGTGTCTTCATTTGTAAAATGGGGATAATAATAATAATATATACTTCCCTGGATTGTTATGAGGATCAAATGAGACAGTATTTCTAAACTACTCTGCAAACCTTAAATTACTATGTTGTTGTTGCTGCTGTGGTTGTTGCTTTTATTATAAAGAGAGTATGATTTGGAGCTGGAGTTACTAAGTTTGTTATGTGCGTATATCATAGACCCCTTGGTCAGTCTTGTGAAGCCTATGGGCCCCTTCCCAGAATAACGTGTTTAAATGTTTAAAATAAAATACATGGTACTATAAAACAAACCAATTTTATTGAAACACAATTATCAAAATATTTAAAAATAAATTTGTGATATAGTAACATGTGTTTTACTAATATTAAATAATAAAGCCACATATATAAAAATATGGGCAAGTTAAAAGTTGTTTGGGTTTTTTTAGACAGCAATGTGAAGACTACTATTGATTAACTTGAATAAGAACATTAAACTGTGGGGTGGTCTTTGAGAAGAGAAGACTCATGTGGTGTTGGACTTCCAATCAATTTCCAATTGTATAGTGATATAAAAAAAACTGTGATATCTATTGATGACAAAGTCACAGGTCTTGCTAAAACTACTGTGATTCGGTACCTACACTCATAATAGAAGGAAATACTAAATTTCAGTTAGAGGTTAGAGAAAATAAAGACAATTTTTTTTTCACAGTGCAAGTTCACAAACTCTCTTGATATCTGCTCATAGACCCCAGGTCTAGTTTTGAATCTGGAAACTAGCTCTGAGTAATTGAGAGTTAAGTCAGAAATTAAATCCATAAACAAACTTAATGGAACCTTTGTTGCTATTCGTTAACTTTGTGTTAACATTAGGTGCATCTAAGGAGAACAAAGTAAGGTCTCCACTTCCCCCTCTCAAAAAGAAAGGAGGGAGAAACCAAGAGAGATCTCCATTGTTGTCTCTCTGAGCACAGACCTTCCCCAGCAGTCTCCCATCTCCCCTCCATCTTTAAGATCAGGAGGGTGAGCTCTTCTCACAGGTAAGCAGCCACTCTCCATAAAAGCAGTCTGCATCGCTCCAGTATCTCCCACTGTCCTCCAGGGCCTTGGCTCTGCTCCCAGCTGCCTTTCTGCCATTTTTGCAGATGCTGCTCCTGTTCAGCTAGGCAAACTGAGATACGAGAGCCCAGTGCATCTTTTCTCCTTCTCCTTCCCACCTTCTCTTCCCCTTCCTCCTCCTTTTTTTTCCCCCTCTTTTTTGGCTCAATCCAAGTCCCACCTGGCTGTTTCTATCACAATAACATGATCTAGGAAATGAACAATAACTTCAAATCTCCTAAAGGTCCAGACCACTCTTACCACCTCCAGGGAAGAGGACTCCAAATCCCAAGGAGCTATGACATTAATATCTACAAATCCCAGGGAGCTTTAGCTACATAGATAATGGCCATTTCTATGAAAAAGTATGCCTCTGAGCTCTCAAAAAATGTTTCACAGACCTCAGCCAAGACCATGAGAGCAGGCCCCGTCTCTATGCGGTCTATAATAAATTTGAAAAATCAGCAATAGGGGTGATTGAGATTCTGCCCATGTTTTTCTTTTCTGTTCTTCTCTGAGCATAATGCTCAAAGATCTCAAAGCATAGATCTGAGAATGGAGGCAACAGAAAAGACTGTTCCCCACCATCAATAGCTTCTAACCTAGAAACTAAGGAATGCATAGAAAATGGCTAAAATCGTACTGATACATGTCAAAGATAGGATTTTTTTCCTGCATATATATATATAGGCAATCTGGAAAACCATTTAGTCAGTTACTACTTCCCACAAACTGACCAAATCTATATGCCAAAGCAAGATGTACACTTCCCAGAAAGGCCTGTGTAGTACTCTGCATTTCCAGTCCCTGGGGCCTTAG